GGTGGATGCCATGCTCGAGCGTCGTTTGGGATGCGCGAAGGTTTTTGTGAGGGGCCGTCAAACGAGCGCTGCGTTCGACGAGTTCGTGGGAATGAGGAAAATTCTCGTCTCGGACGGGCATTTATACCCGACTCGATCACGACTCTTTGACGTATAGTCCGATCAGAGAAGTGCGGTCGTGGACGAGCGTTCGATGCAGCCCATTATTTTCTTCATCGACGGAAAGGAACTCCGTGCGATGGATCAAGGAGTAGGGGCGAAGGATGGATACTTGAAGGTGAACCTCGAGGGAGAGGCCGGGAGGGTGGACGTGAACCTGCCGCAGCCCCTGCCCGACATCAGCATCACCGGGATCGCCACCTCGCGAGAGGCCCCGCCCCCTGCCCCCGTTCCCTCTCCCGCTCCGGCTCCCGCTCCGGCTCCCGCTCCCTCCCCCCCGCCACCCCAGCCCGCGTCTCCGGCCCGCCGTCGCGAGTCCCCTCGCAGGACCAGGAGTCCGTCGGTGCGGGCCTCGTCGGGGTCAGAAGGGGCTTTCGGCATCGACGACCTGGTGAACCCTCGGAAGCGCCGCAGCCCGGCTCCGGACCGCGAGTTCGACGACGGGCGACGCCGTCACAAGGACCGCCGCCGGGAGCGCTCCCCTTCGGTCGCCTCTCGCAGCGTGGATTCCGTTCGCTCGAGCCACGGCGGTCGCAAGGAGAAGACTCGGGGCGCGCACAAGCCTTCTCCCGGATTCGCCACGCTCAAGGAGGAGAAGCTGCACATCCTCCTGGCGCTGAGGCGGATGAAAGAGGAGGGCGTCAGGGGGATCACGGACTTCGATCCCGACAGCGACATCGAAGAGATGCGCATCGAGCTGCGCGCATTCGAAGACGACGAGACGGTCCGCACCGGCATCCAGAGCTGCCGAACCGCCCTCGTGACCTTCTCGACGGGCCTGGAGGTCGCCAACACCAAGTACAACCCGTTCGACCTGGACATGCGGGGATTCAGCGAGTCCGTCTTCGAGCGGATCGAGAGGTACGACAGCATCTTCGAGAGGCTGGTCCGCAAATGGAGCAAGCGTGCGTCCAGCATGTCCCCGGAGATGATGCTGGTGATGATGTTCGTCGGGAACGCGGCCGCCTTCTGCTTCACCAAATCGATGATGACCCCGGAGACCGCCTCCAGGGTCGTCGCGGACAACCCCGACGTCCTGAAGGACCTGATCGACCGGCGCGTGAAGGAGGAGATGGCCAGGGCCAAGGAGGAGGAGGCTCGCCAACGGCAGACCGACTCCCTCCGCTTCTTCGACCCGCCTCAGCCGACGAGGGGAGACGCTCCCGCCCCGCCCCCACAGAAGGCCGAGATCGGCGTCCCGGAGGCGGGCAGGTCGACTCGGCACGTCGGGAGGGGAAAACGACGGCCCAAGTACTCCACGAGCGGCAGCGGCAGCGCGTCGGCGAGTTCGGACTGGTCGGACGGCGGCGAGAAAAGGAAGAGGTACGACAGCGAGCGGAGCGTCTCTTCGATGGAGACGGTCGAGGAGAGCGTAGCCACGACGACGCCCCGTCCTACGACCGTCACGGCCAAGGCCACCGTGAAGAAGGTGCCGGTGGGCAAGGCGGGCGCCGGTGCGAGGAAGAAGGTGGTGGAGATCGATCTCTGAGCGCGCCCGGCCCAAAATAATCGTGCTTCTACGTATGGTTCTCGGGTGGCATGCTGGAGTACGCGCTGCTGTCGGACGTATACAAGGTCGACACCTTGCCGTCGGGCAAGACCAAGCACAAGACCGCCCGGAAGTCCGGGGAGCGGCAGCAAGACGAGATGAGCCAGCGACGCCTGGAGAGCTCCCCCCAGCCTCAGCCCTTGGCGGTGCCCGTGTCCCACGAGCGATACGAGACCCTCGACCATCTGCGGCCGTACGAAGGTCCCACGTACGTCGAGGCAAAGGGGAGGTACCCGACGCGGTTCGTGGAGCGGAGGCCGGTCGTGTACGAGACGTTTGCAGATCCGGACCCATACGATGGTCGAGATCTCGATTCATACGCATCGGATCACGAGTGCCGGTGCAGGATATGCAACGGGAGGATGAGAAGCAGGAGGCGACGCACGAGCGCCCCATACGATCTGGAGGGGCTCATGAGGAACGTGCTGTTCAGCTTCGCCATAGGCGCGTTCGCGGTGTACCTCGTCGACATACTCC